GTGTGTGTGTCTATATATACATATTCGTTTCCAAGTGGTCAAGTTTCTCCTAGGTCAATTTTTAAACGATTCACTCGCATTTTTAAATCTTTTGTGGTTACGTTTAGGTAATGTAACTACTTTACTTTTCGTACAATATTACTGCTTCAACTATTATTTTTTAAATATAAGATATTTTTATTAAATATAATTTAATAAGTTAAACTTGAAATTCTCGGCTCGAATGATTTTCAAGTTAAGATTTTTAATTTAATTATAATAAAATTATTTGAATATAATCTAATTAGCTTGTTATATTTAAAAAAAAATAAAAATTAAAAAATAATATAAAAAACCAGACACATGAGTTTAAATATAATCTAGATAATTGTTAAAAAGAGATTTGACTTTAAAATAAATATTTACATTTATTTATTTTTTTTATATTGAGATGATAATATACTGATTTGATTTGATTGATGTCCACTCAAATTAATTCATCAAACTTATGATCTAATTTGTAGATATCAATGGGTTCAAAATATTTTTTTATTTTAATTATACAATAAAGATAAAGATAAAGATAAATCAATCTAATTTTAAACAAAAAATTAAAAATAATAGAAAATTCATCAAAAATCCAATACTAAAGGTTTTATTTTAAAAAAAAAGTTAGGCCAGATATGCAATCTTGTGTGGCCCAAAATATCAAGGTTTTAAAAAAATTTATTACCATCAAGCTCCTCTCATTAAATAAAAATTATACATTGTCTTTTTTTATATAAAAATTAGTGCTAAAAAAAGTGGCTAGCAAGAAAAATAAAAGTTATATTTATGTATATAAAAGCCAAATGTTTTCTAATTAGGCTATTGAATAGCTTGATTAAAAAGGGGAAAAAGTTAGAAAATTAAAAAAAAAAATTAGCTGAGGTGAGGTGCATGTTATGATTGTTAGTGGCATTTCACCAAGTTGGAGTTCGGCACCAGTAATGCTCAAAAAATTTATCTTTGGGTACAAATTTTGTTCGTAAGCCTTTTTGGGTCCTTATAGTCATCTGCAGTGTTACTTCATAATGATGTAATATATAATTAGTTAAAATACTAATATAATTACAATATAGTCCTTCAAATGAATAAATTTATGCAATAAGATCCTACATTATGTAATGAATTTGCATATATGGAATCATTTACATTCAACACCAGTAGAATTTTTAGATTTAATAATAAAATTTTATATTAATATTTACACTTGTAGTCTCTTGGTACGTATTTTATCAATGGGTTTGCAAACGAAGAAAAAATTATTGGAAAAACTCTTATATGTAATTTGTGGTACGTTGATAAATTCATCTATAATATAATCATTAATGGATTTATTAAAATATATAAATTAATAAAAAAAAATTGAGTTAACTTTGTTTCGAGTGAAACTGAGAAGAGAAAAAAATCCATAAAATATGTTAATTAATAAAAAAAGAGTAAAAACTAAGATGAGAGAAAAAGACACACTTGCACCTGAAGGAAAAAAGAAGAGGAGTTGAGGAGAAAAGGAAAAAAAAAAAAAAGAGAGGCATTGGTGTTTTTTACATAAGAGAAAGAGGGAAGAAAAAGAGAAAGAAAAAAAAAAGATGAAGAGAAAAGATTAAAAAGAATAGGTGTGTCTATTATGAAATTAATGATTCTAGTATTTTAATTGATTTTTTTTATTGATAGATAATTGAGTATTAATATTTTTAATCATTCTATTAGTAATTTAGCCTGTAATATTTAATTTAAATTTTTAATTTAATAAAAAAATCAGAAATCTTTAAAATGTCACTAATAACTTTTTAGTCCATCAAAGATTTTTTTTATAAAGAATAGTAATTAACAACATAATTGAGAAGCGAGCAATTTGAGTGTTTTTAGAAAAATACTGACGAACTTAATCTATTGGTATTGATCTCATACGTAATTAACAACATAAATAATGTAATTAAGAAGTGAGCAATCCCAAATCTCTTTGCAATATAGCGACAAACTTATTTCGGCAATGTATCTATTGATATTTTACAATTTCAATGCTCTCTTAAATATTATCAATGAATTTACGAATAGATTTTACAGATGAGTTAGTATCATTGGTAATGTTGTTATATAAATGACATATCATTATACTTTTTACTTTTTGTTTAATTTTTTCTTTTTTTGCTATAATCTTCTTGATATATACGGAATAAATATTTTCATTGGTGTTTTTTGATGGAGATAGTGAGAGAATATTTTGTTGGTAAAATTCATTGTAATCTACCGACTAAAATATTCTATCGATATTTTCGTTTGTATTTATAAATTTTAAGGTTGTGGAAAAATAATAAATAGTAAAAAAATATTATCAAGACAATGGAATCTTACAATATGTAGCCAAAAGTACTAATATAATATATATTTCCATATCAAAGAATTTTT